CTCCCCCTTTGAGCTCAGACAGCGAGGCCTCTCATCTGAATGGGGCCGGCCTGGGATGTGCTTGCATCCAGGCTCAGGAAATGCCCATGAACGGCTGTGATAGCCCCTGACCCACCACTGTCCACACGGCGGCTGCCCAACAGGCCCCACCATGTACCTGCAGGTCCGACCGGCACGCGAGGTTCACACACAAGGCCAGCTCCTGCAACGCCGGCCACAGCGTGGCCACCGTCTCCGCCAGCGCCAGGGGCACCGCCACCGCCCGCCTCAACCCCTCCTGCAGGGCGGCCGAGCGCCTGAAACCAACGGGGCCGAGGGTCAGAGGCCAGGTGGCCCAGGGACCAGCCAGGGACGCTTAGACCCCACCCTGCCAGCTCTGTGCAGACAGAGCCGGGGTGGGACAACAGGAAATCCATCCTTTAACCACAAACACGCCCAGAGGGTGGCTTCAGTGGGACTGAGGTCCCTCCCAGGCACCTGATGAGCTCCTGGCCTTGGGGGCACCCACCTGTCCTTTTCCTCAGGTGTGCTTCTGGGCAGCTTCATTGCTTCCTGCCAGAACAAGGCACAGAAACGCACGCGGTGAGGGGCTGGCAGTGCCCAGGGGCCAGGGGCGTCCCGGGAGGTCTCTGTGCCCCACCCATCCCCCACAACACCCTCCTCCAGTCATTGTTAAAAAGTAAGACAGGCAACAGTGTGACCCCAAGTCTAGACATAAAGGTTCGAACGGTGTCCCGCCTTGAGGTGCCTTGGCCCAGGAGCAGTCACGCCAGGCCTGTCGCTCTCCAACCCGAGCTCCCCCTCCTTTGGCTGCTGTTGGGCAGGCCTCCTCCTCCGCGAACCCCTGTGCTGTGAGCGCCACGTCCCCACCTGCCCTCCTGCAGGACTTCTGGATATCCAAGGGCACAGCATGGTCCCCATGCCCACTCCAGTTTTGTAGAATTGGCCAAATCTCCTCCCAGGTCATGACCAGCCAAACCTGCCATCGGCCCTGCGAAAGCAGG